TTTCCCATTCTGGCACTTTTCTTTATTATTTTTATTCCCTCCCCTTTGAGCGGCTCCTTCGCCCCGTAACGGGCCCAACCGCACAGTATGATTGTTGTGCCATTTCAAAAGGCCTGTTAATTAAAAAATACCTGGCTGTGCCATTTTTTTACTACTCGAGAGAGAGAGAGAGAGAGAGAGAGAGAGAGAGAGAGAGAGAGACTGCCCAACCCGCGGGGCCGCAGGGCCTTGTGCCCCGTGTGGGAACGTGTGCCGTACTCGCTCTACCTTTAGCCCGGAGCGCAAAGGGCGTGGCGTGGCGTGGTCAGCCTTATGAAGACCCCCGCAGCCCGCAGTGGTCAACAACCATCACTCTGTAGTCCACGATACGAACCGCACGCGCACGGCCGTCGCTACCTGAGGCTCAATGCCGGGCGTTATTAAAATTGATAGAAAGTTAGATTTCTTAACCGTTAAGCTAGATTTCATATAATCTAGACCAATAAATAAAGAACAGTGATTATTTCACGAGAAAAAAAAATAAGTTAACCCACATTCGCCTCGATTCGGTCTTCTACCTTTTCCTTGTATAGAGACAGTAAGAGAGAGAGAGAGAGAGAGAGAGAGAGAGAGAGAGAGAGATGTGGTTCTGGGTGACGGCCAGGGGCCAGGCCTGCGATGGCAATTTGTTAGCTTGCTAACCCCGCGAGAGAAGACGTGGCACAAGACGCGGGTCAACTCAATGGCGTTAGAGAGAGAGACCGGGAGAGAGAGAAAAGGGGGGGGGGGGGTAAGAGGAGCGGGGGAGGGGTTTGCGTGGTGTCTCGCTCTCACTGCAGGGGTCCTTGCCCCTGGGTGAGGGCCGACGACGCCCCCACCCACCGCCGCCTCCTAGAGAGGGGATCCTTCGAAAACGGGAAAGGAAGATATGCGCAACTAATATGGTGTAGCCAAGTTGTGTTGGTAAAGAACGGCCTGCAAGGTACCACACCCTAAACCCTTGTGTATTGTGCGTTGTTAATAAGACATGCAGAGCCATAGCTCGCTTTTAGGAATTGTCACAGAAAATTTTCAAAGCTTGACAAACAACATTCTATTGAAGACATTAAGAACAATTTTATTTTTAAAATCTGTTGCGGTGGAGGTGCGAGGTCCTCGACCCCTACGGGTGAATGTGGAGCGACCTATGGGTGCTTTTCCATGCCGCCCCCGCCCCGCCTCCCCTCTCTCCGCCAAACAGCGTGAAACTCTAGTCGCACCGAAACAACTGAGCGGCCAAAGTGGGGCTGTCTGCTGGCAGTCGAGCTGCAGGGGAGGCGGGGTTGAGCTTCGCACTGTACGCTGTACGCGGCTGCAAGTGTGTAACTTCCACCGTGCAACGGAAAAGATTTCTTTTTGTTATCTCATTGTCTTTAGAGATGTGATTTTTGTTCACTCATCAAGGTACAAAAACATTGCATGCTCTAAATACCTCCAGTAAAAATACGTTATAATATGTCTACCTCTCACCTGCACTTCTTCCGTAACTAACAAAACACCGCAAAAACACCTCGCAAAACACATTATAGTTCTCGCAAACAAGGGGTGCAACTCGTGTATTGCTGTGTACGTCTCGCTGCTTGTATTTGTGCCGCACTGTAAATAAAACTCGAAATTTTCCAACAAAAGTCTGTCCAAATAGTTTGGAAACACAATTTTCAAAAACATTGTTGAAGAACAAAATTTCGACTCCTTCTCTTGGTATTTTCCGAAAAATTTAGAAGAAGTAAAGTACTCTAGTTAGGTAGAAATGATTCTCAGAGGTTTTTGAGAATTCTCTAAAAAATGTATGAAATTTTCCAAAAGGGATGGAATTTTCCAAAAAGTATGGATTTTTGAAAATTTGTTGGAAGATGGTGTTTCCAAACCGTTTGGATTTCAAATTTTCCAGACTGTTAGGGGTGCAAAATTTCCAGTTAATTATCTGGAAATTCCCAACAAAACCTTTTCCAGTGCGTGTATTTGGACGTATGTCTATAATTTTTGTGTAATTTATTCGTCTATCTCTCTGTGCATGATTTCTTCGACTTCCCTCCCTCTCTTCCCCCTCCCCCTCGCTTCTAAAATCATAGATGCGCATGGATCACTATGTTTCGTCTTATGTGTGTTATGGATAACCGTGGTCTTCTTTTCAAAAGTGGTTCAAAATACCGTGAGAAAAAGTCGGAAGCGACTCAAGAATGTCGGCGTGTTTTCCTTTGGCTTTTCATGCGATTGGCAGCAGCAGCCGAGCTGGGCTGGACACTCACTCCCTCCAGAGCGAGCGGACCAAGCGGACCTGGAGCCTACTGGACTCTCCAGGGCAGGGTCCTGTCCTCCCCGCCATATATAGCAGGCTGCACGGGGGGAATCACTTATTGGCGTGGAGCAGAGAGAGGAAGGGAGAGAGAGAGAGAGAGAGATGAAGCGTATCATATCCTTTTTGCACGGAAAAATTTCTCTACATTCCTCTTTCTTTTCCGCTCGCACTCGAGCTTTCGGTTGTGATCATGATAATTTCGAGAATGTTCGATGGTAGTATCATTTTTTGCCAAATAGTTGTAGCCTTAAACATTGCAAAATACTCTATGATAAATGACGGTTCAAAATTGTAAAATTACAAAATTTATACCACTATGTAAACTTTTTATCGAATTGGAGTTTTTCAACGAGCAAAAAGTGGTCTGTCGTAAATTTACAATTGACATCGATAATTGAAAACATCGTACGTAAATCGTAAATGGCAAGAACAAAATCATCAAAGATATTTTTTACACACAGTGAGCAGCCGTACCCCAGCTGGCTGCTGACAAGATGGGACGTTGGTCAACACCCATATATTATCAATATCCGCCAAAGCGCGAAAATGGTCGCATGTCGATAATTATTATTGGATTAGTCGCGTCACATCAGAGCGGCCTTTATTTGGGTTAGGCTCGTTTAGGGGGAGGGGAGGAGAGGGGAAGGGGAAGAGCTGCATGAGTCACATGCGTGCGGTGGGTCAGGTCCCTCTCCCTCTACTGTTCCCTTCCCTCCCACTGCTTTCTTACCTTCTGGTTTTCGGCTTCCCATTTTTTCCCCCTTGCCGTAGTCTGTATGCGTATCGCTTACTCGCGCACGTTCCCCCTTTTTCTTCCGTTTTTCCTGTCCTTTTTAAAGAAAGAGTTCTTTTTGGACTGATGTGTTAACCAATATTAGTGTTTGTACGCGTATTTATTTTGCGTTGTTTCTGTTTGGTTTAAAACGATCTACGATCACGACGATGGTCTACATATCCTTTGTTATTGTATTATTTTCTATTTTTCCATCCTACCGGTGTACGGATTTTTCTCCCATACCTTTTTTTTTATTTTGAGTTTCCGATCGATCCCGTTCTGGTTGGCTGTGGAGGCAGCTCATTGTTTGGTGATTGTTGTCCGCGTTTTGACGATGGCAACATTATTAGGACGCGGCGTTTAAGTATTCCTAACTGCGGCCGAGCGCCCTGCACGGGTGGTCCGTTTGCTCTCGCTCCGCCCCCCCCCAACTACCCTCTGTGGCCGCCGCTGCCGCCGCTCTTCACTCCGTACGCCGTAAACGCTTTCGAGGCGTTCCCACCCGAAGGGCCCGGCCTGCGGCTGGCCTCT